GGAAAAATGCAATTGGCAAAAGAAAAGCTTATCGATAAATAGCAGAGCAGCAGGGCGAGGAGTGACAGCGGGCGCAGTGAGGCTGAGGATGTCCATGAGTAAAAGCCTCACGCATGAGTTAAAGTGTTGCAAGATTTCAATGAAATGTTTCATTACTGTTTTTTTTTTTGTTTTACTTCTTATTGTTTAATTGGTAACTGCACAAATCTTTCAATGAAATATTATTTCAATTAGATTCTTAGCACAAACAGAACAAAATAAATTTGGTTTATCCTAAAAACTGTTCCTGGAAAGATGGAGTCGTGTTATAATCAGGGTGCTCCTTTATTAGGGTCATTACGATTTATTTTTTCTAGTAATACTACAAAAAATTAAAATAAAATTCTTCCACCTCCAGTGTGAGTTTCTGCAGCTAATCCGATGTTAGCGAGGCTCTTTGGAGTGCTTCTCCACTGAGGTCAACCAGAATCCGTCTGATGTTTTTCTGTTTTTAATGATGCCGTTTCATCACTTTTTATGCCATGAAGCACGAGATGGTGTTCAGAAGGTATTTGGATTTATGCTAAGATCACTTACAAACACAAAGACTCAGTTTAGGCTACAATTTGATACACTAGATTTTATGTGAAGGCATCAGAGTAAGGGGGGACACTGAGATTTCCTTCTACTAGCTAATCTCAATTAGACAACTTTTATGTCGGTTATGACGCAAAATCCATATAAAATAAATGAAAATTGAGTTTTAAAATATTTGAACTAATGACAGACTGAGTTTACAGTATGCCCTATCAAGCAAATCTCCGACACACGACGCACCAAACTCTTCTGGTCGATCCAAAGAATCAGATACTTGACTATAAAAAGCCCCTTAAAACTATTAATATCTTTCTGTTTCTAAAGTTCCGCAGGAAAATAAAGATTTCCGAATTCAAAATCTCTCTTCTTCCTTCTTGGAAGTTAGGGGGGGAGGAAGGGTGTTAGAGCCATAAACATTTCTTGTCCAAATTGTTCTTGTTTATGGCTCTAACAGGGTAACAGCTGATTGACTGATTGGATTAAGAAAAAATAAAAGAGGAAAATAATTAGACCTTAGAAAGGACAGACAGTAATACTGAGCAGGAGCTGATGAACAGAAGGAACTTTAAATCAATAAAAAAAGAAAAACCCATTTGAAAAGCGTTTTGTTGTTAATGTGCTCATGGAACAGATAAATCAGTTAGTCTACAGGAAAAAGAACCGGCTAATGGGGGGGGGACCACATAACCGATGGGAACAACAGGGTCTGTGGACACTACCCAGCTACCAATCAGCTGCTCTTACTCTCTTCCTTTTCCTGCTCCTCTTTCACCTCCTTCAGCACCTCCCAAGCCTCCTCCAGCTCCTCCTCTGTGTGAGGCGTGTGGAGCCATTCCCAGAAATGCCTAAAGCTCCCATCATCATCCTCCTCTGGGGCAGAGTTTCCCACGTCTTTTCGCTTCGGGCTGTCGTTACCTAGGCTGCTGCGGCGGTGGGGCGGCAGCTTCGGGGGCGGAGGCCGTGGGGGGACGCTGGAGGACGGCTTGGCGGGGCTCGGAGCCTCTGAGCTCGGGCAGCGCTTGATGGTTCCCCCTCCTCCTGCGTCGTCCTCGTGGTGTAATTGGCTCTCGTCATTTTTCTGCTGAGGGGGCTGCTGGGAGGAGCTGATAGACTTTGGCTGGAGTTGATAAAAAGCAAAATATTAATTTTTTTTTTTACTTGAAAAAATATTTAGTTACCAGTGACTGAAAAAGGTCAGTACTTCTACCTTTGGAGGGAGGGGAGGGGGCTCCTTTGGCCTCTTAATAGTGCTGGATTTGCTGTAGATTTAAAAAGATGGCTAATTAGTAAAACAAACAGAAATATGATGACATCCAGATGTGTGAGAGTTAGTAAAGAGAATCTATAGAATGACTCTAAACTCCTCCATACTTTGTTTTTGTATGTTACAGTTTAACTTTTATATCTACAGAACAAAAGATAGCAAAAATATTACATTTTTACCTTAATTTGTCGCCTAATTTTCTATTAATTAAAAATGCCGGTATCATTTTCTGATCTGTCCTTCTTAGCTTGTCATTAGAAAATATGTTATTATTTTTTTAAAAATTGGAATGAAAAATCTCTTAATCTGGGCTGTTATTGCAGCCTTTATATTATGCAGATTTCCACAGAAAGACCTTCTGGTGAGAGTCATTCCTTTCCACTTTCATCACATGCAGGATCAGTGGCGGTCAGTGACTGTCACATAAATAAACTAAACCTCAGAGTTTTACCTGGCATTGAATAGAATTGTCTGTATTTGGACTAAATTGTCCAGGTTTTAACTTGTTTTGATGACAATGTAAATCTTGGCTTACAACATTAATATGGAAGATGCATGCAAGTGGGAAATCTATGCTGTTTCACTCTAGCAGGAGGAGAAAACAGATGTTGGAGTGAACACACAGACTTATAGAGCAGGGCAGCACACAGAGAGTGATGCATGCGGAGAACAGAACAATGGCAGGAAGAATACATCACAAGGAACATAGAAAAGAAATGAAACTTAACTATTATCCCATGTTGCTTTGAGTGAAACTTTAATGCTACTACAGGAATTAAGCTTCCCTTTGGAAAAAAATGCTACTCAAGCATTTTCAGCCTGCCAGATTAAAACTAAAAACTTCAGTTAAGTAGAACAGGTATGTATGATTTTCACCATTCTGCTTTACAGATAAGAGTCTACAAAAAAAGTGATTTTGTTTTGAGCTCATTTGACTGAATCCTCTATAGAACCACCTTTCAATGCGGTTAAACTCTTTTGAGGCAAGTCTCATCCAGCTTTGGACATTTAGGGCCTGGTCTTCGAAGGTTCCAGATAAATAGCACTACATTGCATTTGAAAAGATAACATTTTTTTTTTTTAGAAATGCAGTTAGCAGCCATATTACCATTAAGCTAGAAAGCTAACGGGTGAAAATATATCACCTTTATCAATTGTAAGTGCCTTATTTAAATACAGAAACGGTGTATGCTATGGGCAGTATGGGGGAGAGAGGGAGGCTGTAAATCAAAGATGGGAGTTTAAAGCCATGCAGTTGGTGGTAATGAAAGCTTATAATGTATTTTATGTATACGTATCTTAGTGCTACAATTGTAAAAAATAAATAAATAAATAAATAAAAGAAAATAATAAAAGTTAAAAGAATAAATATCAAGCATAAAACCTAGAAAAGCTTGGATGTTGTTTTATAAGCTAACCCTGTTTTAAATGTCTTCAAAACTGCTGCTTTCCTCAGTTTTCATAAAGCTGTTTGTTCATTAATTCTCTTTAACAAACTCTGAGGCACCTAAAGGACAACTGTGTTGATGCTAATAATGAGCTAAATTAAGTGGATTCTATTAACTAACCTGCTGGCTTCTAAAAAGAACCTATTTGTAACAGATTTCATTTGCTATCAGTCAAATGGGCTGAAAAAAAAAATTCACATCACATTTCTATTTTAAAAAAGTGATTTGAAGGCCATGATTTATTTACTTTCTATTACAAAGAAGCTCCAAATAATCATTACTTCTTTTAAACTTAAAGGTTAAAGGTACGACAGAGTATTAGGGCCAGGCTAGAGATATTTTTATCCATTTCCAGTATAATGTTGTAAATTACAAGAATAAAGTCGTAAAATTCCGAGAATAAAGTCGTAAAATTTCGAGAATAAAGTTGTATTATTATGAGAAAAATGTCACAACAAGAATAGTTATAAAATTACGAGAATAAAGTCGTAATATTAAGAGAATAAAGTCCTAAAATTACGAAAAACTATTTGTGTTTTATGACAACTCTTACAAACAGCACTTTCTTCCCTAAAACGAGCAATCTCGAGCATCATGTGAAGTTATACTTAGGCATCGGTTTGACAAATGAGGAAATCTTTTTGCAAACCAGAATGAAATTAAGCAGAATGTCAAAGTGGACTCAGGTTGCTGTTTGGTGGTGCTGGTCGGAGCTCGAAGCTTTCTTTCTGAAACAGGTTGTGGTATGATGACTTCATTCTCCTAATGTTACGACTTCGTTCTCCTAATGTTACGACTTCATTCTCTTAATGTTACAACTTCATTCTAGTGACGTTACGACTTCATTCTAGTGACGTTACGACTTCATTCTAGTGACGTTATGACTTCATTCTAGTAACGTTACGACTTCATTCTAGTAACGTTACGACTTCATTCTAGTAACGTTACGACTTCATTCTCTTAATGTTACAACTTCATTCTCCTAATGTTACGACTTCATTCTCCTAATGTTACGACTTCATTCTCCTAATGTTACGACTTCATTCTCGTAATGTTACGAATTCATCCTCTTAATGTTACGAATTCTTTCTCGTAATGTTATGACTTTATTTAAAAAAAAAAGAACATTCTCTAGCCTTGCCCTAATAATCTGGTTTATGGGTCTCTCTGTGAAACTGAAGCTTTACAGTAAGTATCGGTAGCTTTAAAACTTCACATCAGGCAGCAGAAGCAGCATGAAAAACACACACAAACAGTGGCGGCATGATGGTGGTTTGTGCTGCATAGAGATATGTGGATGAAACTGTGGAAAAGGACGAGAAGCCTTCCTCCTTGCTGCCGTCTCACACTCATCTTTATCGCCTTTGTTAACAGAGAGGCTGAGCATCAAAAGATGTGGAGACGAGCAGAAGAAGGCTTCCAGTTTCTGAGACTGAGAGGGAACTTACTGAGTCTGAGTTTCATCATCATCATCTGCACCATCATCATCCTCATCATCCCCTAAGTGTGCAACATGGCCCCTGGGAGAGGAGGGGAAGACAGGAGGGGACAATTGGAAGGGAGGAAGAAGGAGGGGTAGATTTTTGTCACGGTGGGAAGAGAGTAATGGGGGGGGGCAAGCAAATAAGGATGGGAGATGACAACAGAAGGAGAGGGAGGAAACGGGATCAAGGCAAAGGGAGGGGAGGGAGAGCTGAGTAAAGCTCGGTTCATAAACTATCTCTTATATTCAAAGACTAAAAGGACTGAAGCGTCAAAGTCCAACAAAAACAACACAGAAACCCTTCAGGTTAAATAAAATCCTGACACTTCTTCACAAGCTACAATCTACTTCTTGTTACCTGGTCCGTCATTAACAGAACTCTTATTTCCTCTTATTGGATCATTTTGATAACCTGCCTCCTCACATGCAGATAAATTTGTTGGCACATCTGCTAAAGATGAATAGAAACAATCTGGAGATAAATGAAACTTATGTGGTGTTTCACAAAAACAATAATAAAAAAAAAAAAACTTCTGAGGAAATTTGCAAACATGTTTTGAATCACTTTTTCTGCTGCAGGAACTAATGATGGAAATTTACTGGCAGATCTTCATCTTAAATGTTCTTTACCTGTACCTTAAAATTTACCTGATTCTACACACTCTAACAAGGTTCCAAGAGGCTTTTAAAAGAGAAACAGACCCACAGCATCACAGATCTTCTATCGTGTCTCTACCATGGCGGCATTTTGATGCATGCATTTCTGCAAACTTGTTGTATTTTTTGGGCCAATCTCACCTGCTGCGTTTATTGCCGAAAAGCTCGAGCTCAGTTTTATCTGACCGAACCAGATGAATCCAGTTAAACGCTCTGGGAAGTTTATATTATATTATATATTATATTCTCCCCAAACAACTGACTGGTATCACATTAGCGTCTAATGGTTGCTAGATAAAAACAATTATTTAATTGAATGTATTTAAGAATGATTTCAAGGAGTATTGACAATTATAACATAATTAATATAAATTTTATTTTTTCAGGTGAACAGAAATACTTGAAAAAAATAAATAAATGCAAACAGATTTTAATGAGGTACTATTAAAGCAATAAAAGATAAGTATTGTTTAAGATTCTTATTTTGGACAAATATTTGAAGAGGTGCCAACAACTTTATTCACATCTGACAGTACAGGAATTCTTATCAATAAAATACAATTCTAACTACTGTTTGTCACAACCATTTTTAAAGTCCTAAAATGTTGATTACTAAACTTTTTAACCTGCTCTGAGCCTTACTGTACATGAATTTGGGAAGAAGAATAATAAAATAGCCTAATTCTAATCGGGTCACACAGAAATAGGATTTTAGTCAGAATTCAGGTTATCTGATTTCTGAAATATTTTTCCTGCAAACAGAAAAATGCAAAAAGCTAAATAATAAAACTGTTGTTTTTTGAGTTCCTGAAATGTCTCTCAGCTGGATTCCTGCCCAGTACAGATGTACATGTAAACATAATCTTTTGATTTCTTTCATTGCTTAATATCCGCTGATGTCCAAAAGAATAAAGCTTCATTTAGAAGGAAAACATGTTGGAAAACGGTCTAAATGTCTTCTCCACTGTTAGATAGGACATGTGGCCAAACTTCCTGCTAGCTGACTGTTCTCTCCTAGGAATGTAACAACTCTTTCCAGATTTATTATATAGATAATGAATGACTTCTACTTGAACTGCATCTTTATAAAGATGCTAGTTTTGTTTTTATGTAATGCTTTCCTACTGTTTAAATAGTATAAATATATATTTTTATAGGCTGATTTTTCGTAATAAAGGCCATAAAAGCCTAAATATCCCTACATATAAGGATTAACCTGAAGCATAATACAATAAAGTGAGACAAAATGATGGAATTATCAAGCTCCAAACAAGAAAAACAGATTTTTTTCAAAGATGCAGTAAACATGTAAATATTTTAAAGGCTGCCAGAGGCACCGTTTTCTCCTGCAGGTCCCAAAAGGAAAGAAAACAGACAAAAACCAAGCATCAACTAGAAACCTGGAGCTTACTTTTAACAGGACGACCTCTCAGACGGTCGACAAACACATAGACATCAATAATCATCATATACCGTAGGCAAATTGGAATTTCTGCAGGGATTTGCCTGTATTGTTTGGCTGAATTAAGTCAGTTTTTTTGTTTAAATGTTTTTCTCAATGTATGTATTGAATGAGTGTGTGGGGTGTGTGTGTGTGTGTGTGTGTGAGCCATGCTCTCTGCAAGAAGCTCCTAAGAAGCTCAGCGTTTTCAATTCGAAGCAGAAAGCAAGCCAAAGAGGGAAAAAAACCGGGAAAGAAGAACCTAGAAGGTGAAAGCTGTGACAGCCTGAAGTCACTACTATGACAGCATTAGTCGCCTGTTATTGGCATAATTAGTGCTGCTGTTAAATGATTGGCTGATGATTGGATGCAGTTAAAACACAGTTCGGTTTGACCGGAGCTGACTTACCTCTGCTGAAGCTCCTCCTCGACAGACTTCAGAAGACTCCTGTTTGACACACAGATAGAAACCACAAAGAGTTAAGAGTGTGCGATAATAGATCTGTGTGTTCCAGATCTGCCTGCAGCTAGTCCAAAATACAGCAGCCTGTCTTTATAGCGAGACACCAAGACCAACTTTTATTCTATTAATCAGAAACTTCTCCTCTTTACCAATATGAGAGGGACGGAGATCTTTAAATCCATGAACCTTAGAAGTACAAAGGTCAAGGGTGTAGATTAAGCTAAGGAATAATCCAGACTCCCTAATCTTAATGTTTTGACTAGTCTATGGATGAAAGACTAAATAATGTATAGAAAGGTTAAAAACAAAAAAGCTAGAGAACAAAAATAATTTCTTACTTGTTTCCTCCAAGCAGACTTGGTGAATCATGGCCATACTCCAAATGCAAGTCCTAAAAGAAAGAAATCATACTTCTTTACTACATATTGCTTGTTTCCTTATGAAAAACAAAACAACAGAAAAACTTGTAAAAAGCGGCGGTAGCAGCGCTGCTTCTTCTAGGCCTCCTGGAGGACAAACAGCTTGGATATGGAAGGTTTGAAGCCTCAGATTTTTGAGAAACTCAGCCTAAACATTTGGGATTTATTTTTTTTATCCTTCCAATAAAAAAACAAATAAATCCCAACTAATAAATAATACTAAAATCATTACAAAAAAAGGACCAATTTAAGCTGTAGAGATACATTTTTTAATTTCTAAATATGGACTACAGCAGTTTATAATAAAGTAAAATAGATTGCGAATTGCTAAAAAACATTTCGATGATGCACTTAACAAAAGGGCAAATGCTAAATAATTGAGTATTAAGGCGTTACATTCTTTTTTAATTGCGAGAATAAAGGTCAAAATAATAATTCTAAGAATAAAGCTGTAATACTGTGGCATGATGTGGAAATAACATTAATATTACAAAAATAAAGTTGATTTCATGAGAAAAAAGTTTGATAGAGTTTTCAAGGACTAACATTAGCTCAACTAAACAGCAGCTGAAGCAAACACGGGGAAGATTGCTCTTTCTTGTTAGAGTTCTTATTAAAATACTTATTTACTCTGGTAATAAACCTTTTAACCATCAGTCCGATAATATAAAATCATGCCTAATTAAAAAAAAAAGAAAGGGTTACCCAAATTAGATGCTGTTCTTGAACCCTTTTAAGAAGATGCAAAAGCTTTGTTGTCTTTGTAAAGGTTAATTTAATTCACTTTAATTCTCTCAATGAGCAGTCCAATTGGTTCAACTGCTAATCGGTTTGTGGCTATTAAAAAGTAGAACTATGATGCTTAGAAGTCAGAAACATGTTCCATGAGGACACTGGGGTCCGCATGACAACTAAGCAGTTAATCTGGCCTAAAATTATGACGTATTGTTATATTATGACTAAGGCTGAAACAATTAATCGGATTAATCGATTATTTAAATAATCGTCAACTAATTTAGTAATCTATTAATTGTTAAATGGATTATAGAGACTCTAAAACATGCCTTTAGCTGATAGAGCAACCCATTTAGAGCAGTAATTATACCAAAAATATTTTCCATTTAAGATAAAACCCCCCACTTTTTTGTCTATCAATATGCTCTATTCAGGACTCCACAAGTGGATACGTTTTTATTTTCAACTGGTTTAATTCTATAAAAAAAAATCTTAAAGGATCCTTTCGCCATCTGGTTATTGATTGAATTATTATTAAAAAAAATTAAAATAAAATCAGTTAATTAGTATGGCCCTTATATGATTCCATAAAAAGTTTCACCATCGACGTTCTGCATATATTAAGGGCTATTTACTGAATACCATAAGCTGAAGTAAAAACATTTTTAGTTTTTTTAGTAAAAAATAAGAAAGGCTCCTAAAACTTTATATAGGATTTTTATACAACATGGATGATACCTGATAAGTGCTTTACTAAAATATAAGACTATTTTAAAGTACTTTAAATATGCCAAGTCAGGTAATGGGATGCTTTAACTCTAAATGCCAGTAGTTCAATCTGGTTTCATACTGAGTTTTTCTGAAAGTATTATTGTTCTTTTGGTGTTTCAAGCTTTGTTTTAGCTCAGTTTGTTAGGAAATAAAGCTCTCTGTGGATATTCAAAATAACATTGAAGGTGTGTTACAGCGCATCACTTTGCCCGGTGCTAAACACCATCAGGATGAACGCTAGGAGTATATAACCGTATTTTATCACAATTAAATGGTTTTCCTTTTTTATTTATTTGGCATAACATAACTATGGACCTATTTTAATTATAATTCAATTTTTTTAAGCTTAGAAGAAGTGATTTGTTCTGTACTAGATAACAAAAAGTAACTGACAGTTGAAGCATCAGGAAGCTGGTAAACATCAGTCAAAGGATTTATTTTTAAATCCCCTTCATCGACTGCTGTGCATTGAACATAAATAAAAAGCCAGGCTTTAAATCTGTTATGTAAAGCCACAAACAGCGTTATTGTGTCACACAAACGAGACAAAGAGAGAGAGAAACAGGCATGCAACAGGAAAGGACATGACATAAAGAAAATAGAAGAATACAGTTTGGGTGGTTGTAGTCAACTACAGCAGACTGTTAGAAAACAAATGTCAGGTTAGGACACAGAAAATAAAAGACTGTAAAGAAACAGATCAGATTTAGTGAAAAAAAAAAAAAAAAAAAAACAGTTCAACACAACAAACACACATGGTTTCAGCTAAAGTACCGTATAAGGGTGCTACCAGTTATTTCCAGTTCCAGCTAACCATTTGAATTTGACCTCAAACCTTCCTCTGTACAATTGTATGTTTTTTTATGTACTTTCTATACACAGCATGACAACAGAACCAAAATAACAGCAACCATTTGACAGTAACACCTAAAGCACCAGTTAGTGAAGCAAAGACAGCCAGAAGGAGGAGAAGAGAGAAACACAGATGGATGAACCGTCATGGTGAGAAGGCGCAAAGCCTTTTCCTCATTTTTCTCACACTGCAACCAAAAACCTAAATCAATTCCAACATTTTTCGGGATTCTGTGCCACAGACCAACATAAAGGAGGAAACAAAACATGAAAGGCGATTTTTAAACTTTCTTTAGACGAAAATCAAGCAGTGATGCTAAGCCTCCTTTGCTAATCAATATAAATGGATCTGTTCTGTAAAGGTCCCCTGGGGTGCATTAGTTAAACAGAATAACGGAGACCAATGATCACAGCAGCTGAATGTGAAAAGTTGAGAAATTTAAAACGATTAAGGTTGACAAAAGTATTCGCACCCTAAAAAGTATAAACATTCGTCTGGATACAATGCTAATTTGGCATGTTATCAATAAAAAATGTTTACATACTTTGCATATTCTTAATTTTAGATATCTTGATAATTTCCACATTCAAAGAATAACATCTGAAACAACCTTAAAATATTATCAAATTTTGATTATTTATTTTGCACATGCATTTAACTAGCATCTGTGATTCTGTAGAGAAATTATTCTGTTTTTAAATGGTAATAAACAAAATTTTATACCTTTAATTACTTGGCTTTTTTTTTTTTATTCCTATAGTATCAAAAATTGTTTCAATATCACATTTTAGAATTTTGTATTGTGAAAACCCTAAAAGCAAGAAAAGGGTAAAAATTATATCCCACACTGGGAACACGTCACAGGACTCATTGAATATCATTTAATAATTATGTTTTCCTTAAAGGAAGAGCGAGGGGAGCATTAATCAGACCAAGAGGTCTACTCTGGATGAGCTGCAGAGATTCACGGCTCTGGAGGGAAAATCTGCCGATAGGAGAATTACTGTAGATGTACCTTTGACAAAGTGGCAACGACAGTTGGGGAAAAAAGCTTGTTGGGCTTAGTTATTTAGATCAGATGGTAGCAAACCTAACTTCTTAACCTGCAGGGAAAATGCTAAAGATAACAACACTAATTATATAACCCTAAACCGCCCATCTCTATCAGAAAAAAACGCTGGCTGCAGTGGATAGTCAGGCATGCCCAGAAAAAATCCGATTGATAATATCTAAATGATTTACTTTAGAGAAAAAAGGCAAAAGGTTTCAGTTTCTAGATCAGCCAAGCTGATGGAAACAGAAGGTGATTCTGCTAACCTATCAGGTTGTTTGGAAATATCACACAAAACCTCAACAAAAACATTAAAGGTTTTTGATTGTAATGTGAATAAAAATGTGGAAAACTTTAAGTGGCATGAACAGCTTTGCAAGGTACTGTCAAAACATTTCTAACAGTGGCAAAAAGTGCATTCTGACTGAACAGAATAAGAAAGAGCAAAGCGTGGAGAACAAAGAAACTCAAACATAAGCAGGACAAGGACTTGTCCTTTGATAACAGATTATGGAGAACAACATGGAACGGACGAAAGAGGCGGAAACGGAGTTTATAGATAAAAACTATGAGGAGAAAAGGAAGAGCCAGCTAATATACAGATAGACGGATGACGAATAATGGGAGAGACAGAGGGAGTACTACCAGATTAGATCTCGCGGTATAGTAGAGCTCCTCAACACAGTCCAGATAGGGCTCAGAATCACACTGGTCAGCAAGACAGAGCGAGAGAGACCTCAGTTAATACATTAACTTGGACTTATATAACAGGAAGGAAAAGAGGCATGGGGGTGAGAGAGAGGATGAATGAGTAAAAAGTTATGTCTAAAAACCAGAGCTAGAAAGTCAAAGGGGAGCAGGGCAGGTTGGATAGGGGAAAGAAAAGGAGTAAAGAAATATGTGAGGATGCAATGTAATAACCCCAAAATCCAAAAAAGGAAAAAGAATTAAGAAACAGTTAAGTAACATTTCCTTGCATTAATAAAATCCCAAACGCATCTAAAGACAAATAAAATATCTGTATTACATCAGTTAGGAATCTTTATGCTTATCCTTTAATTAGAAGTACCTGGAGCTAAAAAAAAAAACAAAAAAAGCAGCTATGAGTCATGATGAGGTCAAACACGACCCTCCGCTGTTTTATTGTTCTGTGTTATAATTAGAACTAAATTAATCGGAAATTTAAACTGGTCTTAGTGGAATGCACTGACCGGATTCTATAGTCTTGAATTAGAATTGAACTGGTTTGTTTAACAAAGCCTTTAAATGACTGATAAATGCTTCATGGTGCTGCCAATAACTTTGTTTATAAATAAAAACACTATCCTTTGTTAAAGTACAGAAAAAGGTAATGGATGATTGACTCCGAAACGGTCTAAAAAGGTCTGCTGAGTGAAAGATAAAAGTCAGTGAGGGGAGAAAATAAATAAAAAAAAGCTTTGTTATAACTGAATCGTAGATGGGAAACGCATAGATGTGAAAAGCAAGTTAATTAAATTTTAATGAATGTTGTACCCAGGGATTTATGTTTAACTTTTATTATGGGTGAAACTGCACAGAGGAAGGAAAAAGGTAAAGGTTTGACTCATTTCAGCTTGACGGTTGTTTTTTGGGCCAACTAACACAGAACGGATAGTGAAAAACATACAATATGAGGAGCGAACGTGTGGAACGGGTGACTGACTACATCTATCTATTAAATTTATCCACTAACAGCGAGAAAAAACAACCATTTCACCAAGTCTAAAACCACTAACTAGAATCAGCAGGTATTTTGCAGCATTTTATTTATTGTTTTTTTTTTTTTATAAATTTGGTCTCCAACCCTTTAATCTAAATGCACTATTTAAATGTATTTATGTGCATCAGCTCCAGAGATGGTTTAGTTTCACTACAGGACAGACTCGGATGTCTACAACGTTTAAACGCAGTAGATAAAGTGGTAGTTAGTCAGGTTTAAGGGTAACCAAACTAGCAATGGACATGATTCTACAGGTTTTCAGCTTTAAATGAAACACTCCTAATCAAGGTGTGGTGTTAAATCTATATCTGAATCTCAGAAGGGATTCCTAAATACACAGAAGACAACACAGCAATGTGATTCTCTCCTCCCTCTTAGAGGAGGTTCTGTTTTTATGAAGAAGCTGTGGACTCCACATTAACACAAATTAATTTAAGGTGGTTATACCCCTCCCACTGAATACCTGCCAACACAAGACGCAGAAGAAGACCTTTCAGAGAGAGCTCAGTTAGTGGAAACTATTCCTGTTGTCTAACCATCCCCAATGCAAAATCTAAAAGACATTAAAAACATTATATATTTTTTTTTTAAATCACATGAATCTAACTTACCAACATCATTTAATCATCCATACTACCTTAACTAGTAAATTACTTACAAACAAATTAACTCTACTTACTTGAACATATTAATTATGCTTGCTTGCTTTCCTTTCCACTGAGCCAAACATTTTTTTTACTTTATTAACCTCAATAACCTTACTGAAACAACCAACCCTACACAGAACCCAAAATAACTAGAATGTAAAGAGAAAAAAAAAAGGTCTCGGCATCAATTAAACCCTAAATGATCCAAACTCCATCCTCACACGCACCACAAAGCAAGGAGATACCAACAAGTGCTTCATGTCACTAGGTTAGAAACATGTCTGTGTTGGTGAAATTCAAAGCACAGAGTGTCTTTTCACATGCGCACATATCTAAGGCCACGCCTCATTACTCACCGGCTCGTGATGAGGTTCCGTCTCTTTTCTCAAGAGAGGATCAAACTTCACTTGTCCGACTGTGAAGAGACGGTGGGAAAGATGAGAATAATTGCAAGGGATGAGAAGAGCTTAAAATGGAGACCAAATGAAGAGACGTACAGTTGATTTCGGATAGGGTCTTTCCTTCCCGGGTGCTCCTGCTGGTGGAGCGGATACGATGAGGAACAGCTACTGGAGACTGGAAGCACAGAGACGGAGGCATGCTGAGAGGCAAATATTAGCTATGGCATAGGAGTTTACATTGCATTTAATGCTGCTGCTGATTTTAAAGAAAACAAGTAATCCTTCTGTCATTTTCCTTTGGAGCAAAATTTAAAGACACAGCAGAACAACCCAATCACACATTGCAACAGGGAAAGACCAAAAACACAGCAATGAGTCAATAGAAAAATAAAAACATCTTCGTACGGCGGCAGCTTCAATGATTCAACCTTTTGCAGGGACTTGTAGACAATGCAGTTAGAAAATTAAAAAAAAAAACTTTATGCTTTCACAAATAAAACCAAACATTTAAAAAAAAAAATTATTGTAGGATCTTGACGTCCTTTTAAATTTCACATAATAGCAGAAAAAAACACAGCAAAGTCACACCGTGCTTGTAAAGCATTTGAGTTTAGAAAGCTAATAGTAAAGATAGTTCTCTCTTATCAAGTAGGCTATTAAACATAAAAAGGCATCCACTTAAAATTCACATTTAAAAGGTTAGAAACTTCATTCTTTGCTTCTAAACTAGGGAGGTGATTGATTACATCAGTTACTGAAATAACCGTTACAGCAAAAACAGATAGAAAAAGAGGTAAAAATGTCTTTTACCACTAATTTGAAAAGATAATTAAGATGATCTGCCAAAAAAATGTGTATTTTACCCTAAAAATAAGATAATTTGATATTATGCACTTATAATAAGCTAATGAAGTTGCTTTTATTATTTTAAACAATAATTATCTCATTACATCAGCAAATTATCTTACTTATCTGCTCAAATCTATAGAAAATAAATGCATTTCAGAAAATATTTAGTTATGTTTATTTCAATATTTGCAGCCTGAATTCTTTAAGGAGAAGGGATTGAGAGTAAATTTAAAATGATCCATACCCCTTTGAATCTTTTAAATTAAAGCCATGCATTTGTGAAGAGGGAAGAAAAATAATCAATACTTCTAAGTTTTTTTTTCTTAATGATACAAGGAGGAAAATGTGAGGAACCATTTGTATTCAGATCCTTTACTCCACTAATTTAAATCTGGTCCAATCAAAACAAATTAATACAGAATCTAAACCAAATGATCCCCATCACAGCCCACGCTTTCATAGAACTAAGATGAAGACGTTTATTGATGTTGCACACAAAAGAAAAAAAAATCTTCTTTGATGTGGCCAGGAATTAGTGAAAAATACAGAAACCATACAAACATGCATGGCCTGATGTAGAACTTTCTCTGATTTTATGGTTTTCAATAGCCAACACTTCAAACATTTAAAGACAAGGTAATAAAAACTATGAAGGAACAAACCAAGTGACCAACCAGCTACTTAAAAAACTCATGTTTAACTAACCGTATGTTAAGCTAATTGTGCAACAGCATGCGTAATCCTTCAACACGTCACATGCCAGAGAAAGCCTCCATGACAACAACAGGAGCCAGACAGAAAGCACGGGAAATTTAGTTCTGTAGTTCTAATCCAAAGACACTTTCAAAGAAAAGATAGCATCACTGCAGTCGACACAAGTACCTTCCTTCGAGCCGCAAAGCGGGGTGCGCGTCGGGCACCGGGGCTTACAGGGAGGAAATGACCTCTGTATTTAAACTATGTAGGGAGGAGGTGGAGATGAAAAAAAATAAGAGGAAAACAGGGGAGGGAGAGAGAGTGAAAGATAGAGAGGAAAGAGTGCTAAGAGGACGTAACGACGAGGAAAGCCAAACATGAGAGAAATAAAGCAAGAAAAGGTGAGATAAGAAATGGAAGAAGAAACAAGGGAGAGGGGATAAAAAATACAGAAGATGAGTCACAAGAACTAGGGAACGAATGTGAGGAGAAAAGATGTGACTTCTGAGGGAGAGGGAGTTAAACTGGAAAAAAAAAAAAAACTGAGGAGACATGAAGACATATTTTAAGAATCCAGCAAATCACAATCACTTCTCTGGCTGCTCTTATACTTGGTAGTACTTCAGTTCTCCAGAAGAAGAAATCCAAGAGGGTGAAATGTTACCTCAGGCTCAGGCTCGTCGTCGTCAAAGTCGTTGAACGTGCTGTGGTCGGGATTGTTGGCTTTGTCCAGCAGCTCGATGGCGAGCGTCCGGCTGAGAGGCTGGGAGACGAACGGGTGCTGGAGGAAAGATAGGACAGAAAAACGTAAGCTCAAACACTATGCCGTTTTAAGGTGTGTTCTACGATACCCATACACACTGTTATTTCACATGTAAATTCATAAAGCAACCGGTGAAAGCAGTAGCATGTTTGTTCGTTCGTTTATTGCTATATATGGGATATGTTTCAGCACATTTAAAACTGGACTGGATGAGAATCTATTTCCATACATAGCAATGAACAACGTAGAAATATGATGGTTTACCTGGAGCAGCTTCTCTGCCGTGGGCCTCTTCTTTGGGTTCTTTGTCAGAGCTAACTTCACAAAATGATGGAAGTTATTTGTCCTGTTTTTCAAGGACAGACAGAAAAAAAAAAGAAAGAACAAAGAGTCAATCTTCTGACCCCTTAAATGATTAACGGTGCAGCATTTATGAAAACGTGCCAGCAGCCAATTTGATAAACGATAGAGAAGGCAGAGACTGGGTCAAGATGCCTCACCACTTGAGTTTATCTTTCAACTTCGGAGGCTGGAAGTTACTCTTGGTCATCAAGAAAAGAGCCCTGAGAGGAACAAGGAGAAAAACTGTATGAACTATGCAAAAATCTGGATAAAAATGATTTCATAAAAAAGACTTATTAGGTCTTAATTTTTAAAAAGATGAATGTTCTAATAGAGAAATAATAAAATAGAAGGAGCACCTAATTAAACTGTTTGTCTCATGAAAATAAAACAACTAAGCAGCACTCCTGGTTAAGTAGCAATGGCTGCACATCAATGTGTGTAAAGCATGAGGTTATTCCAACAACTGGAACATAAATATTTAAGAGCAAGGAAGATTTGCAGCTATGAGGAAACATCAACAGTCGTTCCAGGAGCGGACGTCACTACGAGCTTGACCTTCTTCCAACAGAACGCCTCGTCTCTCCATGAAGAACGTGGAACCAGGATTTACCTTTAACTCGTTGGCATCTTTACTTTTTATTTTCTTCAACAAACTTTAGATCAGTTTCATTGCTCTTTGACTGTGAAGCAGGAGGTAGCATTTAATCAATCTGACATAGAGAGTCCGTTTTTAAAAAGGAGCTAATAATAGGTTAAGATAATTCAAAGGTTCTAAATCATATATTATTCATTAAATCATTATTTTTTTTAAATTGAAACTAAAAATTAAAAGGATAAACAATATGAGAAACAACATTTATTTTCAAAATTCCTTTTATTAAATAAAAGAAATACAGAAATCAGATCCATTTCAATTGTTTCCATTTCCCTACAAAATTATATATTAACAAAACAGATCTTAGAAAGAAAGTTTTATTTGTCATTTAATTTGAGCTCTGAGGCAAACCTGTCATATACCATTTCCTCCAAAGCTGGCAAAGCCCAAAAAAAGAAATAAAAACTTGTTTTTATTGGGCCTCAATTCAAACCTCGTCACGGTGGCTCTGCTAGCATCACAGGACGGTACGACAAACACCAAAACTCAAATTATGTTTTAGGCTAATTGACCCATAGCTATTCTAAAGCTAGCGCATTAGGCTCATCAGTCCAATCATACTCTTGCTAAAGAATTTAATAATTGTTCCTTAACTAATTTACTGTATTTCAAGGGTCAGCAGCCTTTAAAATCTAAAACGCAATTTATACTTCGTTCAGCGAAACAAAGATCATTAAGATGCGCAAAATATAATTAAAACTAGAAAACTATTTATTTGCATTTTTAGCTTTTAAAGCAGTGAAAAGATAAAACGCTTCATTAAGAAGAATCATGGATTTTCTTCTATAGGGAAAAAAAATGTCCTTCTGTTATGAAAATTATTAGTTGGTAAATTGTTATTTACAGCCACTATAGAGGGTCCAAAGAGCCACGGATACAGACCCCAGCTGTATCTTACACTGCATGATCAGTTATTCAATGTTGTTGATTGATCAATTGACTTTATTGATCTCACAGTGGAGAAGACATCGTTACATCAGCTCAAATAGTCAATGAAGAAGAATGTGCCAAAGGAAGAAAAAAGGTGCATGGGATATATACAGTATATACAGTGAGTCAACATGTGACAGCTTCCCCCCCCTTTCTATCTGATGATAGAAATCAGTCAAATATGAACCAGAAAATTAAAACCTTATTAGAAGATTTTCTTTTTTTTTTGTCATTAACACTTTTGATCAACCTCTACAGACGCACTGCCTTACCTCATCGGGTGGAGCTCAAACATGGGGGGCTGTAGCTCAGCCAGCTCTATGGCAGTGATGCCCACCGCCCAGATATCACACAGCTGATTGTAGCCGCCCTTCCTCTCTACTGCCGCCACCTCTGGAGCCATCCTAAATCAGGAGGGAAACTCATAGGTTAATATGGAAGAATGCAGAAAAGATGTAAAATAAATGTGCTTCAAATACAGCTATTCATAGCACCACAGTTTCCTCTTTTCTTAGGATCAAAAATGAGCTAATTTAACATCTTTATGTGCAGGAAAAACTGTAAATCCTCTCGCTTTGTTCCCAATAAAAATTTTGCTTAAATTATTACTAAGAGGACCCCCATTACATAAAAGCAAACTCAACACCTTCACCCCAACAGTGTTTTACTTTGCACATTCCCAGTGCATGCACAGATACCCGTATGAGACATGAAACTCACCAGTAAGGCGTTCCAATGAATGACTTTCTCTTGGCGAGAGTGGCTGTGATCTGGGCTGACACACCAAAATCAGCTAAGGAGAGAGAAACAAAAATTAGCAAAACAAAACCTGAATAGATCTATAAAAACAGAAGAGAAGAATCAAATCTCACCAAGTTTGACGTAGCCGTTGTCTGTCAGGAGGATGTTGGCTCCCTGTAAGAGTCCAAATATACCATCCATTACTATGCAACACAAAGGACAACAAGTGGCCATGATAGGTCTACGGAGAGCTGCCATTACATCAGCCCTACAGGAAGCACCAGCTTTGACCACGCTGCACCTGTTAAAATGGCCACTACATTCAATCAGTGACTGGTAATGTGAGGCTAATGGGGATAATTTCTGCTCAGAGTTCAGATGAATTTGCTCTTTTAGCAGCTAATCTGCACAGGAACACTTTGTTAATTTATTTACCAATAGTTTAAGTTTGGAACATTTATTAATCCTGAAGGTCTCAAACCTAAGTCTGATCTTCCTAAAGGACTCATAATCCTTGACGCACGGACATTCCATGCAGAAAATGGGCCACCCATCACAGCGTCTACAGCATTTATTACTCTTCATGCAGTTTCAGAGCCACAGTAATTTCTTTCCTGGACTTCCGCAATCTGTTGATAAGGGTGATATTTATAGCTAAATAACAGGACGTCTACATTTGCAAACCCCTGCCAGCAGGAGCTGCTGCTCGCTCGCCATGTTTTCCGCGCAGATCTGTCCGTGTGCTTACAAATTTTCCTAGGTGCTCCGTGCGAAGACTATGTCCGCACAGAGCGGAAGCCCAAAATGACGCAATTTCTCAACAGACCTCGTGCATGCATCAAGCATGAACCGAATTTAAAGAGGAGACTAACCACCTAAAATGGCTTAATACAATAACATCATGAAATAGGCAGCACAGCACAGACAGAGTGAATTGAAGGCAAGTGTCTTTTCTGCTTGGTTGGAAAAAACAACCATTAACAAATAAATACCATGTAAAGCCAAAGGAAACATTTCGTGATAAATATGGCAATTGTAGAATATGTTTTCTTAATGGGAACATAGAACAAACTGGGTCTCAAACTCACCTTGATATCTCTGTGCATTTTGCCTTTATTGTGCAGGTAGTATAAACCCTGTGGAGAGAAGTATGCATTAGCTGACGTCAATGACTCTTATTACAGTATTTCACAAGGCAAGTAAAGCAACTAATTCACTTAGGTTTCAGACTAACTTTTTCCTGTTCTGCATTCATTCATCATGAGGTTTTTATATCAGTATTTTATATTCTTCTTATTTTTGTACGTTTTGAAATCACACGTTTATTAATTGCAAGTCACAGAAGTAAAAAAAAAAAACTGTGTTCAACTTGTTTACAACCAGTTTTAGCTGCTGTCACTGCTGTAGCTTCTCGGGCATTTTTGGTCGTTGAATTAATTAGTATTCCTCTTTCATTACAAGATGTTTGCTTTCATTTGATTTTCAGAGTAGAGGAGGAAAAAGACCAACGGGGAAATCATTCTTAAAAACTGGCAAAATAAATAGAACAACTTAAGAGCAATAAATGTGCCAAAAAATGTATTTGAAATTGGTACACTCTGTCTTCATTAATCAAATACTGAATACATTTTTTTAAGTTTTGAATGGACAATAATTTATTAGGGGTGGAACGGTTCACAAAATCCACCGTTCGGTTCGGTTCATGGTTTCGTGGTCATGGTTTTCGGTTCGGTATAT